GGGACGGGGACGTGGGGACGGGGACGTGCGCGGGCCGCGGAGCTTCCCTTCCGCTTGAGACCGGGATGGAGGGAGGGACGTGGCGATGCGGTGAGCGGTCCGTCGTTTATTCCCTTCCTCTTTGGCCCCTAGAGTGTGCAGTACATGTTTGGCGTCGTGGGCATCCCGGTGACTGAAATCGCCCTTGCCGCCCAGGAGCTGGGCATCAGGTACATCGGGATGCGGAACGAGCAGGCGGTGAGTGCGGGCGCAGGGGGCCCAGGACGTTCCTGGGAATGTTTAATAGTAGCGCCAGCCACGCGTTGCAGACGCGCAGAGAGCGTTTAACTGCTATCTCATGCTTTGCGCCTGTGAATCACTATTGATATTTTATCTGTTGTTTATCCCGCTTGGCAGATGAGAAGAGTGAGGGGCAGAGAGATTCAATAAAATTTGCCCGGTAACTCGATAATGACAGAGCCAGAATTTGAACTCAGGTATTCTGGGTTGCGTCCTTGCTTATACTACTGTATTATACTGTGTGCCTTGTCAAGTTGTAAATGTCAGAATGGAAAGGGACAGTTTTGTTTTGTTTTGTTGGACCAGGGTTTCACTATGCTGTTCAGGCTGGCCTTGAACTCTCCGGATCCTCCTGCCCCCACCTCCTGAGTGCTGGGACTACAGGTGTGTGCCTCCATGCCGGCTAGAAGGGAGAATTTCTGAGTGCAGTTCACTTCCCTGTTAGACTTTGAGTTCCAAGAGAACAAGGATGTTATTTCTTCACCACACTCCTACATCACTGGAGCCGGTGTGGTGTCTGCACATACTTGTTCACCTTAGGATGAATGAGTGAAAGCCAAGTCTTGAGATATATTACAAAGAGGAAGGCTATCACAGGCAGTAAGCTCAGATGTCCAGATCCCAGTCTGGGTCTCCTTTCACCACAGTTTATGCCCATCTTTCTTAGAGGCTTATTTGGAAGCAGGAAAAGAAAGATGTGACTTTTAAAAAATAATTTATTATTTTTGGGGTTTTTTGGTTTTTGACTTTTTAAATTAATTTTTGTTTTTTTTGAGACAGGATTTCGCTATGTAGTTCAGGCTGGCCTGCAGCTCACTATAGAGCCCAGGCTGGCCTTAAATTCTCAGTGATCTTGCCTCAGCCTCCCCAGTGCTGGGATGACAGGCCTGTGCCAGCACACCTGGCTCAGATGTGACATTTTACCAACCCACTTTCAGTGATTTCTTGTCAACCCAGCCTCACACTTCTCTCAGCCATGCTGCCTTAAAGATTGAGAATCCCTTTTGTGATTTCACATACTGTCTGTGCAGCCAAGGGTTAAGTGTTCCGTCTTTCTGTTTCCACTGTGCCCTCTCTTTAGACTCCCACTTCTTGCCCAGATAGTTTCCTTCATCTCTTCCAGTAGATGTGAGCTCCTAGGGAGAAGAAAATATGCTTCCTTTGTTGTCATATCACCTAACAATACCTGGCTAGGGTGAAGCTTTTGTGTGACATCTGCACTTAGTACATTATTTTTCATTTCAGTAATGTTTTTTGTTTTTGTTTTTGTTTTTGTTTTTCCGGTACCAGGAATCAAACTCACGACTTTGCGCTTGCCAGGCAGGTGCTGTGCCGCTGAGCTAAATCCTCAGCCCGTCTGTTCAGTAATGTTTATTATCGACAAAGTTTGAGATTTATAGGGTTCTTTGTATTAAAACTTTCAATTCTTGAATTTTGAGTACATTTTCAAATTCTTCTTAGTCTAGGACTCTTTTTTTTTTTCCTATACTGGGGATTAAATCAGCGCTGGACAAGCACTCTACCAATGAGCTACAGCCCCTTTCCTTTGTATTTTTTATTTTTGAGACAAGGTCTCACAAATTTACCCAGCTGGCCTTGAATTTGCAATCCTCTTGCCTTAGCCTTCTGAGTGCTTTTTCTTTTCTGTGCTGGGGAATCAAACCTAGGGCTTTATACATGCTAGGTTGTTCTTAGTTGGAACAACTGTCTGTTCTTTTGTCTGTGTGAGCTGAAGCCATTGACTTATTAGTGGGACCTATCTTTTGCTATTTCTCTGGAAGTGGTATGACTACCATGATTTCCTCTTCATATGGCAACACTAAGTATGTACTATGTATGAGATACTGTGCTACATAACTGCTGAGAGAAAGGGATATAAGGAAGAAATGAGGTTTAGTCTTGACTTGCATGTTGATCACAGTCTGGGAGGGTGAGAACAAGATATATAGAAAGAAATTACCTAGTGTAGTAACTCTCACAATGATGAATATAAGGAACAATAGTAGGACAGAATGGATGACTGGTTCTCTTTGGTAGGATAAGGAAGATTGCCCTACAGGTAATGTTTGTTTATGCTGTATCATGATAATTTGAAGTTATGGTGGGTTGCAAGATGGGATGGGTTAGACCAAGGGAAGGTTATAGAGAATCTTCTCTAGCCAGAAAAGAAGTTTAGACATTTTAAAAAAATAGACAGTGAAGGAAACTGTAAAAGTTTTCTAACCAGGTGGGAGACATAATTAGAATTTTACTTTAGGAAAATGATATTTATGGACCAGCAGAGTAGGAGCCAGAAGACAGACTGAAATTCTATTCCAGTGTGTCTAAGCTTTCACTGTGGGTCTCTGAATCCTTAGGGCAGTGGATAAGGAGATGAACGCTAGTTCTTGTCCTTGGAAGACATAGTCCATAACTGTACAGATCTAAATAGACAATTTTATTATAATGTGGCATATAGTGTGATACAGATATTTCCAAGGTGCTGTGGAACCCCAGAGAAGGAGTTCCCAGTTCAGCTGAAGTGTAGTTGGGTATGGCTTGTCTTTCATCAGATCCTTGGAATAATCAAGAGATACTAGGAATCAAGGAGGCAGATTGTCAGAAAGTTAATTTACCGAGAGTTTTCTCTGCGCGGGGACTATTCTGAATGTTTTACACTGATTGTATTTCCATAGCTATGCTCTGAATCTTGTTATCTTGTAGATGGGAAAGCCAATATAGAGAGTGTTTTGCCACAATTACACAGAAGAATGTAGGTGAGCTAGGATCTGAGTCAAAACTGTTTTGTTTCCTGAGTCTGCTCTTTTTAAGTACTATATATTATTTTACCTGTAAGTGGAGGCACATTGGTAGAGACAGATTTTTTTATAACTATAAAAGCAGTTACCACTGGGTGTGGTGGTGCATGCCTGTAATCCCAGCACTCTGGAGGCTGAGGCAGGAGCAGGAGGATTGTTGCGAGTTCGAGACCAGCCTGAACTGCATAGCGAGACCCTGTCTCAAAAAGACAAAAAAAAAAGAAAAAAAAGGCAGTTACCTCTGAATCTTTGATATCTGCCAGAGGAATATACTTTTTGTTGTATATTGTTTTATATTTTGCATTGTGTAACAACATTTCTTATCCTGCTATAATAAGTGGGGAATAATTCTCAGTATTGGAATAAATGTTCTTATTGCAGCAAGTATTTTAAGTTAGGTACTTACATTTCTTAGGAGTTGTCTTATTAATTTCCTATGTAGATTTGGTTTTATATGTGAAAGGGAAAATAGGGTCAGCAGAGAATGCAACACAGCAAAAGAACAGAGCTTTTATGTACCTTCATTTGGCCATATAATAGGGGTGTCAGTTAGGATTATGATTCATAAACATGTATTTTTGTTACATTTATGTTCTTAATGTGGATTTATTTAAGTTCAGTGTACTACTTCATTTAAAACTGATTGAAGGCTAGGAAATACCACATTTGTAATTTCCAAAGATAAGAAAAGAAATAATACTGGAAAACGATAATGTCCTTACCCAGGTGTGATGGTCCGTACCTGTCATCCCAGTCACTCAGAAGTCTGAGGCCAGAGGATTGCAAATTCAAGGCCAGCTGGGTAAATTTGTGAGACCTTGTCTCAAAAATAAAAAATACAAAGGAAAGGGGCTGTAGCTCATTGGTAGAGTGCTTGTCCAGCGCTGATTCAATCCCCAGTACTGGAAAAAAAAAAAAAGAGTCCTAGACTAAGAAGAGTTTGAAAGTGTACTCAACATTTTCCCAGAGCATCTTGTGTTTAATTTAGTGTTTTCTCTCTCTTCCTGTCTTAGTTAGTTTCTCATTGCTGGGACACAGTACTTGACACAATTTAAAGGAGGAAAGGCTTATTTTGGCTCACAGTTTGTAGAGGTTTCAGTCTATAGTCAGCTGGCACCTCAAAGATTCAGAGATGTACTCAAAGCAGGGCAGCAGGGCAGCATGGCAGAGGAGAAATAGCTCAAGGCATGGCCATGGGAAGCAAAGTGCTATCAAGGGAAGAGAAAGACAGAGAGACCCTTCCAGGCCACGCCCCCAGTGACCTACCACCTGTATCTAGGCTTTACCTTCTGACGTCATATTTAGCTAGTGATCTAATCAATTCCCAAAAGCCCCACCTATGAGCACATGAAGCTTTGGGCAAACATCTAGATAGAACATTTTCCAATTATGAGCTAAAGTACAGTTAAAAAGCTAGGCATGTGGCGCGCCTATTCTTGCAGCTTCTTAGATGGCTGAGGCAGGAGTACTACAAGTTTGAAGCCACTCTGGGCAGCCTATTGAGACTGTCTCAAAAAGGGTTGGGTGATCCAATTTTTGAGACCCGTCTCAAAAATAAAAAATACAGAAGGCCAAGGATATAACTTATAGGTACAGTGGTTGCCTTATGTAAAAAGGGGACAATTTCAACAAATTGTGAAGGATTGAAAACATAAGAAGTATATAATCTGACAATATTGAAGTAAACTAAAACTTAGTAACAGGAGGATCACTACATAATCACAGTGCACCTGGATTCAGTCTCTAGTGATGGAAAAGACAAAACAAGTAAAAACTCTTCAGTGCGTCACAGAGGGTTGTGAGTTCAAGGCCAGCCTGGTCCAATTTTTGAGACCCGTCTCAAAAATAAAAAATACAGAAGGCCAAAGATATAACTTATAGGTATAGTGGTTGCCTTATGTAAAAAGGGGACAATTTCAGCAAATTGTGAAGGATTAAAAGCATATAATAAGTATATAATCTGACAATATTGAAGTAAACTAAAACTTAGTGACAGGAAGATCACTACATAATCACAGAAATTTAAGCAACACAGTTTTTGGTTTTTCTAAATATTTGAAAACATTAATAAAATCAGTAAACTGAGCTGTATTGATCAAGAATAAAAGAAAGAAGGCACAGATAATCCATATCAGGAATAAAAAGGGAGACATCACTACAGACCCTAAATAACCAATATGTGTTGAAGAAAACACAATGGAAAAATAGAAAATATTTTTGTTGAGTAATGATGAAAAATATCAAATTTATACTTTGTGGTTAAAGCAGTTTTTTAGAAGAAGTAGTTTTAAATGAATCTATTAACAAAGAATATCAAAAAGTGCTCTAAGCTTGTATTTCAAGGTGGTAGAAAAAAAGCAAATCGAAATCAAAGTGAAAAGAGTAAAATAATATGTACAAGAGTAGACATGGAGGAATTAGAAAACAAATGAACAATAGAAAAAAAACCAACAAAATCAAAAATTGCTGCTTTAAAACAGGGATTCCCACCCCTTACCCATGGTACTAGCATCAGACCAGTACTGCACAGTAGAATGGGGACAGCTGGCAAGCTTCATCTGTATTGACAGCCTGTCCTCAGAGCTGGAGTACTGCCTGAACTCCAGCTCCTGTCAGATCAGCAGCAGTATTAGATTTCATAGGAGCATGAACTCCTATGAAAGAGATCTAGGCCGTGTGTTGCTTATGAGAATCTAATGCCTAATGATCGGAAGTAGAGCTGAGGCAGTAATGTTAGCACTGGGGAGTGGCTACAAATAGATTAACACTGGTAGGGAGGTTTGACGGCTGAGAAACCATAACAAGTAAGTTACTTATTAACTGTCGTAATAACTAACCACTAGTGAGTGGCAAGTAACAGTTAAGCTGCATCTGGTGGCAAGCTTTCTAGTGGCAAGTAAGTGGTTGCATTTCAATTGTACAGCTGCCTCCAGTGGTAGGTTTTAAGTCAGAATCTGATATTTATTTTAGTCTGCATGTGACCTGCCCATTATTTTATTTATCTGATTCTGTATTGTGGTGAGTTTTATAATTTCATATATAAAAACAGGGATGTTCCTGTGGATCCTGAAGATATTTAAAGGATAGCATGAATAGCATAGATGAGAAAGACAAATTCCTTTAAAAATTAGAAATTAGATGCCTAAAGAATCATTCAAAATTTATATGTAGATTTCTTGTTACTGTGTAAAGCATTCAGATTCTTTGTATCATTTAAATTCTAATCCCTAAATACTAAATTTTCTCATAGTTATGCTATAAGATCCCAATATGCTTTAATTCCCAAGTGTTCTTTCTTTGTAGGCTTCGTATGCTGCCTCTGCTGTTGGATATCTGACTGGAAGGTAAACTAAAGTTTGCTTTATTTCAACTATAGAATATTTTTGGATAGAACTATTTTATCTTTCAGCCGGAAGTTTGACTTGAAAGATTACAGATGGTAGTAGTAAAGAAAAATAAATGCAGAACTCTTTGAGGGCCAGATCAAAAGGATGACAATACCTGAAAAGTGTGTTGGGGGACATACTAACGTTTTGCAGAATGAATCACTGGTGATCACATAGTGAGTTGATGAGTCATATCTTGTCTTGGATGTCCTGAGTGCCCACCTAATACAAGAATGGTTGATTCAAAAATGACATCAGTGGGGCTTGTTCTACTTGTTCAGATTTTTTAGTATGAATCCATGTTACCTAGCTACCCATTCCTCTTTTTCTGACTAAAAATTAATATATACTTTTTAAACTTGGGCATGGTGCTGCATACCTGTAAGCCCAGCACACAGGAGGCTAAAAACAGGAGGATTGAGAGTCCAAGGTCAGCTTGGACTACATCGCAAGTTTGAGGCCAGGTGAGCTACAGAATGAGACACTGTCTCAGCCACACTGATAGTAATTAATAGTTATTTAAACACCCATTTTTGAAAATAATCTAGGAATGAAAACTAAAATCTCCTGTAATACTTTAGCTGTTAAGAATTTGTCATATTTTTGTCAAAACTTTTTCTGTTTACACATGTATTTGTAAAGCAGAATTTGGGCTCTCACTAAAATTTGTATCCTACTTTAGTAAGTAAATTGCTAAGAAATATAAACAAATACAGTCTCAAAGTCTGGAGTTCGCCAGAGTAATCCTGCTTTGATAGGAACCTTCAGAATTTGCGAGGAAAATAAGCCATCCAAAAAACAGTATCTTTACCATTTTCTTCACTTTTTAAAATATGAACAATATTTTAATCTTTTTGTTTAGCCTAGAAAGCATGTAAATTATGGGTTCCTTGATAGCTTAATTGAAAAAGTGCTAGAATGATGATTAGGGCATGTCAAAAATTTGTACTTTAAAAAGTTTTCTTGTTCAAATGAACTTCTAGAGCTGTGCTGTTACAGTAGCTACTAGCCATATGAAGCTGTTTACATTGAAATTAATGAAAACTAACATTGAAGCTATGATTCCTTGTTTTAGTTGTCACATTTCAAGCGCTCAGTGAGTAATTCCTCGTTTCAGCTGTCACATTTTAAATACTCTTTCAGACTGCAGAAAGAGAATGTTTCTACTGCCTCAGAAAGTTGTGCCAGAGTGTACTGTATAGAAGTTTAAATTTTGGTGGTAGTGTAATTATGTTAATTGGTTGTAAAGTCTGTTTTAAATATTCTTAAGAAATTATAAATGGTAAGCGCCAAGCTGAATTAAATGGCAGTACCTTCTTGAATGCTTTAAGCTTTTGAAAGTCACGTGTACGAGAAAGCGGTCAAGTTCAATTAAAAAAGATTTGGGGAAGAACATTACATTTGGAATTATTTTCTTGTCATAGACCAGCTGACTTTATATTTGTTAAGAAATGAGAAAAAAAATTTTTTTTCATACAAAAAATACTCAGTTGTCAAAATTTGCTTTTGTATGTAGTCAACTTGTTTTAGACCAAATGTAATAGCAAGATATGAAGAGGGTAGTAAAATACAATGTGAAGAGGATAGGTTCCGTACTCTTATAAGAAGACTGATATAATGTTCCTCTTGTTTTTTATTAAAAGTATTCTAATAATTGTTTTTATCAGTTACAGTAAAGACCTGTATGTCCTTTCTTTGAAGTCCAAGAAGGTTGCCAGACTTCACCCTAAAGTGATATGAGTTAGTTGTTATGAACTGAAAGTGCTTGGTTCAAAAATGAGATTGCTTGTGCTTGTTCCTCTTGTTCAGTTGTTAAATTTGATCTACTTTCAATAAAATAAATTCTGTTTTATTTCTAGGCCAGGAGTATGCCTTGTTGTTTCAGGCCCAGGTCTCATCCATGCCTTGGGTGGTATGGCCAACGCAAACATGAACTGTTGGTAATCAAATTGTTATTACGGAGAACATTTTCTTAAAATGTCCCTGCATAATGTTACTATGTATAGCTGATCTGGGGTGGAAAGAATTGGGGGAAAACGCTCTAATGCTTAGAAGCAAAGTAGAAAGGTGATTAACAGGCAAGCTGATGGAGGCGGGGTGGGGGGCGGGATGGGGAGATGGATGTTAAAGGGTACAAAATTTTACTTACGTAAGATAAGTAAATCTAGAGTTCTAATGTACCTGAGGAAAACCGTAGTATCATATACTGGAAATTTGCTTAAAAGTAGATTTTAGATATGTTTACCACACATACACCCAAAGTAACTATGTGAGATGATAAATATGTTAATTTTCTTAACAGTAGCAATAACTTCATTGTATATATGGATATCAAATTGTTATATTGGGTACCACATATAGTTAAAGAAATACTAGGAGGAAAATAACACTACTAAGTCCTTTAGAGATAAATACAGCATTTTAATTTCCTTCTGAATGTAAGATAAGGTTGAGGGGGTTATGTTCTCATCAGTAATAACATTTAACTTTTTTTTGGTGGGGAGGATATTATCTTCATTCTTGCCCTGTTTTTCCTACAGTTTTGTTTGTTTTTATTCTTCCCTCCTAGTTTTTCTCTTATCTACTTTAGGTTGAGATATTTTTGAGGACCTTAAGGTTTGCTGTATGTTTTTTTTTTTCTTCATCTTGAGGGATAAAAGTTTTACAGCTCAGAAATGTCACTTATTTTGCCATCTCCATATAGATTTATTTAAGAAAATATAAAACTTCTCTTCCCCATATCCCAAAAATGAGAACAGCTTGAAAATTCATTTTGTATCACTATACGTAGACATCTAGCATCAGCATCCAGCAGTGAGATGCAGACAAAGACACACATTTGCAATACATTTTGCATTTTAAAAAAATTATGAAAGGGTTTGCTCACATCAGGTTGTATCCTAAGTATTTTTTAATCTACAGTTCTTAAAGGAGGATGTAATGTGGTCTCTCCATGTGTCTGTCTGTTTCTGTCTCTCTTTAACATTTATTGAGCTGTTTCTTTTGCATTGGGAAGTCTGCTGAGGATTTTACATGATATCATTTGTAATTTTTTTCTTAAAAATTGTTTCAGGCCCTTGATTGTGATTGGTGGTTCCTCTGAAAGAAATCAAGAAACAATGGGAGACTTTCAGGAATTTCCTCAGGTATCTAATGTATTAGAGTTATGGACAGGATTTAAAAGATTATCATCTGAAAAATAATAAAATAAAAAAAGTTAGAGGTGCCTAAAGTACTTTATAGATAATGTTTCCAAACAAGACAATCTCAAGGTAGATAGTAAGAAGGGGCTGCCTAGACCCTACTTAGGCAAGCTTTCAAGAAATGCACCAAAATTGATAGGATTTGAAACTCTGAAATAAGTTCTTCTCAGAGCCAAGAAAATGTAGGTATAAGTAAGAATGACTTTAGAGGGAGGCCGAGGCAGGAAGATCACAAGTTTGAGGCCACCTTGACTGCACAGTAAATTCAAGACCAGCCTGGATTACATAGCAAAACCCTATTTTAAAAAACAACAGACTAAAGATATACATCATCACCATTGCTAAAATAGCCGAACGCGAGGTTTAGATGAGTAGAAAGAGGACTTTGGACTATGCCTCCCAGATGTAATGGAAATGAAAAGCTAAGAAAAATCCTATTCAAAATGATTATCAGTAGATTCTGGGTGAGTTTATTTTTATTTTAGAAGAAGAGGGAAGGAAGGTGTTTCAGAAGTAAAAAAACTTGACAAAATTTGTAAAGAAAATATTACAGTTTTGCTGGGTGTGGTGGCATACGCCTGTATTCCCTGCACTGGGAGACTGAGGCAGGAGGTTCGAGAGTTGCAGCCTGGGTAACTTAGCAACTTAGTGGGACCCTGTCTCAAAAAATAGAAAAACAAAAGGCTGGAATGTGTCATTGTGAGGGCTCTGGGTGCAATCCCCAGTACCACAGAAATGTACAAAAATAAATAAAATAGTTTTAAGAATAGGTCTAGAAAGCAAATAAGAATAAATTATACAAAATAAATGTATTTGAGCCTTTGTTTTGTTTTTGGTTATTTAAGATAGGATCTTGCCACATAGTGTAGGCTGGCCTTGAACTCCCTGTATAGTTGAGGCTGGCAGTGAACTTGTGGTCATCCTCCTGTCTCAGTCTCCCAAATTCTGGGATTATAGGCATGTACTACCATGCCCAGCTTATTTGAGTGTTTGCAGGACAAAGTTAAGAGCAAAGTTAAAACTGTTGACAAAATCTCTTAGTAAATCAGGAATTATTGTGAGAACTTCAAAAATAAAAGATTTTCTTTGTGTGTTACTAAGCTTCAAACCCAGGGTTTTATGCATGCTAGGCACCTGCCCTACCAGTGAGCTACACCCACAGCCACAAATGGAGTTTTACCTATGATAATCTAAAACTGCAAACTGTGGTATAAGTTAATGCAGGAGTTATAATTTTATGCTCTTAGAAGGGAACTGAAGTTTTACTTACTTGATGGTAGATAGTAATAATGGTTTTTTACTTAGTAATTTTTTTTTTGTACCAGCAATCAAACTCAGGACCTTGCACTTGCCAGGCAGGCACTTGTGCCACTGAGCTATATCTCTGGCCCCACAACAGTTATTTAAGAGACACTGATATATCTTAAAAAGTAGACCAGATAAATTAACTAAAAGGAAATTTATAATTGCTGTAAAAACTGTATCAATAAAAGAAAACATTACAAAATTTTTTTCCCTGAAAAGGAAAATAGTAACAATTGATAAGATTAAATTAAAAATTGAAGGAAAACATCACTGAAGCTGTGGAATTGCTGGGCTCTGTAATATTCTTCTCAAGATTTCCTGCAGACATTTTTATCAGTTCCTCTTCCCATTTAAACTCTCACCAGCAGTTTTTGAGAATGCCTATTTTCCTGTGTTGTGGTAGACAACACTTTCTCATGTTTGTTAATCTGAGAACTGAAAATGGTGTCTGTTTTTATTTGCTTCCTAAATCATACTGATGTAGAAATTTGTTATTTCAATAGACAGGGTCTCACTTTGTAATTCAGGTAAGCCTTGAACCAACTGTTTAGCCCAAGCTGGCTTCGCATTCACAGCAGTGGTCCTGCCTCAGCCTCCAGAATGCTGGAATTACAGGCATATACCACTATCCCAAGCTTTCAGTGGGCTTTTAAGAGACATTCTAAATTGTTTTCTCCATCTTACCTCTGAATGTAATAGAAAGTAATTATTTAACAGTTTGTCTTCCTTCAGAAGAGTAATCTGACTGTGAGCTGAATTTCAAATGATTTTCATTTTCTGTATAGGTTGAAGCTTGTAGATTATATAGCAAGTTCTCTGCCCGGCCCAGCAGCGTAGAAGCTATTCCCTCTGTCATTGAAAAGGTATGATATTTAACAAGTTTTCCTGGGGATTGACTAAGATCCTTACAAGGGTAACCACATACTCTATGAATGAGCTATCCCTCTAGTACTGTTGTTTCTATTCTTGAATAAGTGACAATTAGAAATTTACCCAGACTGTTAAAAAGACATTGTTAAAAAGCTATTTACATTTTAATATTCACTCCTGCTACATTTAGTTATTTAAACACATAGGTAAAATAAAGTTATTTTTGGACAAAAGTATCTCTGGTGCTGTAGTTTTTAGAATTAACTTTAAGTTATACTAAATAAATTCCTGGGTACTCTTTCTAATATGCTTTTGTAAAACAATTAATTTTGAAAGTTGAGATTAATGCATATCAGGCCATTTCTTAAATAAACAGTACATTGTAAATTAATTTTAGCTATCTAGCATTTGTATGTGAAATTACATTTGAACTGTTTCAAATCTGTAATAAAAATGATTGGACACATACTGCAACATCCCAGTTCCTGAAATCTTGGCTAAATCATTAGGATTAGGAAGCAGGTGGAAGTACATATAACAGTGTAAAAACTTGGTGAACAGAGCCTAGGGAATAATTTCCAAGGCTAATAACATATGTAATAGAGTATGCATTTTGCGGGGAGAGTACACAGTATGAACCCAGGGCCTTTGCACTGAGCTACAGTCCGAGCCCTTTTCAGATTTTGAGACAAGGTCTTAATAAGTCACTGAGTTGCTCAGCCTGGGTTGAAACATGTATTCTTCCTGCCTCAGCCTCCCAGAATTCTGGGGTTATAGGTATGCACCATCGTGCCCAGTTTAGAACAGGAATTTTAAAGTCCTAAGTGAATACTTTCTTATCTCTCCCATTTAAAACAAACATACAGTACTGTACCTTTTAAAATATATAGGCTTAATGGAGGACATTTCAATTTTAATTAACATTGTTTTTTTCTCCAACTAAAGATGTCTAGAAAAATAAAAGTAATGTTCATTTCATGGTTAAATAGTATCTTTAAATGGAATATGATATTAAGGATTGAAATTTTAAAACATCTTTTCTTCTATCTGTAATAAACACAGGCCGTGAGAATCAGTATCTACGGTCGTCCAGGTGCTTGTTATGTTGATATACCTGCAGATTTTGTGACCCTCCAGGTGAATGTGAGTTCTATAAAGTGAGTAATAGTTATTTTCAATCTTAATTGTATCATCATAGTACCTTCTTTTTTTTTTTTTTACAGTACTAGGGATTAAACTCAGGGCTTTTGGACTGAGCTAGTATTTTAAGTCAGGGTCTGGCTAAGTTAAGTTGCCCAGGTTGGGCTCAGACTTTTGCTCTACTTGTGTCAGCCCTGAAGAGTACTAGGATTACAGGAGTGTGTCACCACACTTGGCTAAAAAGAATTTACCTAGCAGTTTATAATTCATCTTCATGTGTCTTAACTTGATGATTTAATAATTACTGAATCCTAGCCAAAGGGCTTAATTCTGTTAATTAAAATGGTATTACCTAGTAAGTACTTTGGGCCCTATCAAATGGTTAGAATTTACTGAATTCCTCACTTGAAATTTTTCCTCCAGTAACCACAAATACATATCCCATTAATGCAGTTAGTGGGTTATTGACAGTGCCAGTATAAGCAAGAAGTAATTGTTGAAAAATTATTAGTTGAAATTGTTGAAAAATATTAGTCTAGCTGTTTCTTTAATTTAAAAATGTTCTAGCACAGATTTTTCTATGATTTTCTTGTCCCTTTATTTCTTAGATAATTTTTGTTTTTTACATATATTTTCTGCATGTGCTCACTCTATAGTTTCATATGATAGCTTATTCATTTAATATTATCTTAACGTTTTTCATTGTTTTAAAATTGTTTCCTAAATGTAATTTTTATGAGTTTTGCTCTTAGGAAAAGGTTCTCTAATGAATACAGGGATGTATATTTGGGAGAGTCAGACAGAAAGGACATTTATTCTTTATAAAACCTGACATGATAACCCAAATAATACTGAGGCATGAGGAGGGTTGAGCCTTGGGTAGCTTAATTCTATAAGATGTCTTTTTTTTTTTTGCAAAGATTGAATGTCTTATCATATGTCCACGTATTTGGATAATAGTATATGTCCAAATTTTGCACAGTATGACTTTTATTTATTAAAATAAATGAAATACCACAGTGAGGAATTACTGTCCAGAAATACTTAACTGCAGCAGTCTTAATAGTTCCCTTTTACTGATGCATGTTGTGATGCTGTAGTATTAACTCCCATAGAAAGTTGAAATAATGATGAGTGAAGTAGTGAGGTGGTTACAAGCATAGACTCTGGAGGCAGAATAACTGGTTCACTGCAGTCTCTGCCACGTGCCATCTGGGGATCTTTAGCAAGTTAATTTCTTCTGAGACTTTTTTCCTCAGTGGTGAAATTAAGATAATGGTAATAGCTAACCTCATTGTTTTCAAAATTCAGTGTGGCATATAGTATTAACTATTAGCTTTTAGTATGGTTTTTACTGTTACAGCAACTACCACTCCTACTTTAAAAAAAAATTCACTCAAATTTCCATTCAATGACTTGCACATTTAACTGGCTATTAGATAATAATAGGGAAGAACTGTTAATTTACTAGATGAGATCAGTGTATTGTGGTTGTATAAGAGTTCTGTATGTGTTAGAGCTGCTTCGGGGCATTTTTAAGGATAAAATGGCTTGATGTCGCTAATTGACTTAAAATGTTCTAGGAGAAAAGTTACGTGTGTGTGTGCATTCGTGTGTGCATGCATGCATGTAAAATAAATGTAAAATGGCATTAGTAGTTGAATCTACATGTTGAGTGCAGTTTATTGTACTATTTTTTTCCTACCTGTTTGTATATTTGACATTTTCACAGTAAAAATTTTTATTTTTTTTATTTTTTATTTAGTTTTGGTCTTTTTTGAGACAGGGTCTCTCTATGCAGTTCAGGCTGGCCTTGAGCTCACTTTGTAGCCCGGGCTGGTCTCGAACTCTCAGCAATCCTCCTGCCTCAGCCTCCCGAGTGCTGGGATTACAGGCGTGCGCCACCACACCTGGTTGCAGTAAAATATTTTAGAGTTAATTTTTTTAATTAACAGAGATCCTTGTTTCTAGGTACAAAGAGTGCTGCATGCCACCTCCTGTTAGCATGGCGGAACCCTCTGCTGTTTGTCTGGCAGCGTCTGTTATTAGGAGTGCCAAACAGCCCCTTCTTGTCATCGGGAAAGGTAGGACAGAGTAGAACTCTCAAGTCTTCCTGGCTTTTGAAAGAACGTTGATACGTTTTAGAAATTGTTTTCATTATTATCTGCTCTAATGTTTGAAATTGAATTGAGAATATTCTTCATCCATTTTATTTTGTTAATTTTCAAATTATAGAATTATCCTTAGAGGCCCAGAGTTCTTACTCTTTTAAGGAAATACCTCCTACTTTTGAGACTTAAATTTTCAAAAGGAGGTGAGGCAGAATGAGGCAGGAGAATCACAAGTTCGAGCCCAGTTGGGGCAACTTAGTGACTTAGTAAGACCCTTTCTCAAAAATAAAAAAGGAAGGGCTGGAAATATCTCTCTGTAAAGGCCCTCAGTTCCATCTCCAATACCTCCCCCTAAATTAGAAAATGTAGGGAAGTAGAAAGAAGAAATCTCTTCAAATAAAGAAACTATTTTTAATATTTAATATTTTTCTGTTCCTTTTCTCATGCATATTTTCTACTGTGATCATACTTTGCAGACAGTTTAATATTCTACCTTAGTTATTTAATATTATAATATTTTTTCATCACTTTTAAGATTGCTTCCTAAGTAGAATTTTTAATGTAGATTTAAGAACACATTAACACTTTACTAGCAAATAGTATTTGTTTGTTTATAGTAGCTATGACAAATATGTTTGTGTGCCAACCTTTATCTATATTTAGGATTTAAAGTGGACCCCCAGAAAGTGTATTAACTAAGTTAAGAGATAACTTCAGATTACTTTCTCCTGAGGTCTTGTATCAGTTGTTTATTCTTGTCAGCAATTTATTACTGTATGCATTTTGTGTTTTAGAACTGAGACTGTTGGGATCACCTCTGACCATACTAATCCAGTTATCAATTACTTAGGAACTAACGACATACAATGAAGAATAGTTTTTTAAATATGGTCAACAACAGAAAAAACTTTAGATCAGAGCTAAATTGACTACATGATGTGATATATTCACTTTGTGACTTTGGCAAACAACTGCTTTGAATCTGAATACCTCCCTGGCAAATAGGAATATTAACTACTTTAAGAGGGTATATTAAATAGCGACATATGGGGAAACCACTTAGTGGATGCTAGTTTTCATTCTTTAACAAACATTTGATGAGGCTTTGATGAGACAGGGATTATAGAAAACACTGAGGGAGGGTACCCATGGAGGTATCACAGAATTGTAGAACCTATTCAAAGATCTGTGGCTTTAGAAACGGATGCCCCCTAGACTAATGGACTCCAATGCAGAGCAGGTTTAGCTGGCGATGGATAGCAATGTACGAAGGTGGAAGGAACCCTTCTCTCTCAGGGCCAAGTTCTTCCCTGCCTACTTAGGCCTCCTAGTAAAGATAGTATGTTCAAGGAACTGTGGGTAGTACTTTAGCAACCCCATAGTGTAGAAGGTAAGTGACAACAGAAAGAGGTGCAAAATGTAAATATGGTTTAGGGGTAGACCTAGTTCACAATAATTGAGAATATGATTGAGGGCAAATTAGAATTACTGCTTTCTTAAACATATTTAAATACCAATTATAAAATCCATAGTCACCATTTATTTTGTGTTGAAGCTCCTATATAAGCAGAAGGGAGAGTAGGTGAGATCAAAGAGCAATTTCATATGAACTTATTTTTAGGGCCCTAGTGCCAAGCTTGACTGACTTGTTCAATACATTTGCATTTCTTATAGGTGCTGCTTATGCCCGTGCAGAGGAGAGTATCAGGAAATTGGTGGAGCGATGTAAATTGCCGTTTTTGTCCACTCCTATGGGCAAGGGTGTTGTCCCTGACAACCATCTAAACTGTGTAGGTGCAGCCAGATCCAGGTGCGTAGTGTTCCAGATTTTAAACATAGTCGCCTGGAGGATTTTAGGCTACATTTATTTTGTGACTTTCCTGACTGAATCTAGACAGAAGAAAAAAAAGAATGGTGTAATTCTAAGCCCATCTGTTTGTTCGTTTTTACTTTTTAGCAATTTAGAGATACTAGGGACTTTCTTTTGGCCTTCATGGTTTTAGATGAGAAATTTGTAGTCATTTGAATCATTGATCTCACATGTTTAATATGTTGTTTTTCTCTGATTACTTTTAATCTTTTTCTTTATCTTTGGCTTTTAGCAGGTTATTATGAGGTATTTGGATATAGTTTGCTTTTGGTTTATCCTTTTGGAATTCTTAGTTTTCCGAATCTGTACATTTATTTCTTTGTCTAAATTTGGAAAGGTATTTACCATTATTTCTTTAAAAATTTTTCTACACCGATCTTGTTCTCGTCCTCCTAGAACTCTAATGGTACAGATATTACATATTTTGACATTGTCCACAGATCCCTGAATATCTGTCCATTCCTTTTCAATCCTTTTGTCTCTTAAATTTTCTGTTTGAAAACTTCTCCCTTTACTTTTATTTTAAGAATAGTTTTCTTTCCCTTATGAAGCATAGTTATAAAAGCTGCTTTAAAGTTTTTATTTTGACATTCTAACACATGGAACATTTCAGATTAGCACCTATTTTTTTCCTTTGAGAATTAGTCACATTTTTCTGTACTAAGTAACTTTGGAGCGTTTTTCTTTCCCCGAATACTGGGGATTGAACCCAGGGATGCTCTACCACTGAGCTATATCCCGAATCCCATTTTTATCTTTAAGACAGGATCTTGCTAATTTGTCCAGCCTGGCCTTGAAGTTGTGATCTCCTGTCTCAGTTTCTTGAGTAGTGGGATTATAGGCATATACTACCATTCTTGTGCCTGGCATAATTTTGGATTATATCCTTAATATTTTAATACTATGTTATAATAGTCAGGGTCATTTATTTGTTTTACAAGCAGTCAATTACGTTTGGTTGGGTTAGGCTCAGACCAAAAGTTCTCTGTCATTACAGGCAGCTGCTCTAGGGTCAGATTAGCTTCAGAGACATTCCTTTGCTGCTTTGGGTCTGTCTGCGTATGCTTGATTTGAGGATAAGCCCAGACCCATGCTGGCTCATATCCAGAACTGGGGATGTCTTTTCTCTCTTCTTTAGGGTTTCTCTGGCTCCCTAGCTTCACTGTTTAATTCTGGGAGCCCCTTTTCATGGCTTTTTCTGCTTTATTGTACCCTACAACTGAGGCTGCCACAGCAGGGAAAGCTGAAGAAGAAAAAGCAGATGACTTCCATATGGCTGAGATGACAGAGGCCTCTATTTCCTGTTTCTTTTGCCTGAAAGATGACATATCTCCTCTAATATTAGCTGCTGGGGAGCCATCACAATGCCGCTCTGAAGCAGGGCTACCTTTAGAGCAGGGCTAGGAGAGAGAAGAAGAAACGGTACCTGAACTTCTTACCCTATAATCTCCAACTTGGAGTGGAGCCTCTCTTCCTGATCCTCTGGCCAAGAAGATAGGGTTTCTCTTAGAGTTTTTGCCACATGCAGTTCTGCAAATAGAGCTTTAATTTATCTACATCCTAGCCAAATTTTAGAATTATATTAATTACATCAGTAGGGTAATAAAGATTGCAGTGCAGTAAATAATTGAATCAGTAATTTAAAGAGGGACTGGGCTCCTGGGTATTTTCCCAGAAGATCTAAAAACATCATATCACAGCGATATATGTGCACCTATGTTCATAGCAGCACAATTTGTAATTGCTAAATTATGGAAGCAACCCAAATGTCCATCCACCCAGGACTGGATAAGAAAATTGTGGTACTTTTATATAATGGAATATTACTCAGCTATAAAGAAAGATAAACTCGAGGCTTTTATAGGTAAATGGTCACAACTAGAGACCATACTCATAAGTGAAATAAATCAGACCTGCATGTGCAAGCAGCACATTGTCTCACCTAGTGTAAAACCTGAAAGAGTTAATTTAAACTCAGAGGTATGATAGACATTGTGAAATGATAGGAAAACACTCAAGGGTAAAGGGCAACTGGGATGTGGAAAAAGAGAAGGAAAAGAAGGAGAAGTTTTGTATGTATGTATATGCAGGATAGTTAACATAGTTGATCTACTGTCTTCTATTTCTTTGCTGAAAGAAACTGTTAATGAGTCCTTGATTGATCAATATTGAATGTCTCTATCTGTTTTCATGAGAAAACACTTTGAGGATATCAATATGTAATAAAGAAGCATTGTTAGTTTCCTACCACTTTGTTTGTAACTCTGTATTGTCTATACTGTTCTTTTGCTATTTTGTAAAAGGTTGTCTGTCTGTTAATGTTTTCCTCCTTTTATTTTTAAAATTAAAAAAAAATTAAAGAGGGGCTGGGGCTATAGCTCAGTGGCACAGCACTTGCCTGACAAGTGTAAGGTCCTGAGTTCAATTCCCAGTACAATAATAATAATAATAATAATAATAATAATTTAAAGGGTCTTAAAATATCAAAAAACTGCCACTTGCAGTTTTTATCTGTTTGTAAAATTGGGTCTCCAAGGCCTGATGCGGTATATAATAGAGATACTTTTTGGTTTGGAGTATATACTTGAATTGATAACTAAATTTTTGTGAAGACTTGTATTTATTGCTCAAGAAGACAAAAGAAATAAAAACAGATCCTTTTGGCAAAAGATAGGGAAAGAGGGAGTCAGTCAAAGATGCAGCAGAATGAAAGTAAAAACCAAAATCTGGAAGCACTTACGATAATAAACGCTCCTGGAAAAAGGCACACATTCATATTGGATTAATAATAACTGTATGTGTTAAAACAGCCACATCTGAAACAAAATCATGTAATTGAAAAATAAGACTTGGCAAAGATACATGAGGTAAGCAAAAAGAAGGCAAGGTGATTATGTTAATACTAGTGTGTACATTAAGGTAAAAACTACTAAAAGATTAAAAATTGTATTAGAAGTTTTAATATATATTTTAACAACTATTAGAAATACATTTGGGCCAGGCACAGTGCTAACCCCAGCTACTGGAAGGCTGAGGCAGAAGGATCCCAAGTTCAAGACTAACCTGGGCAACTTAGCGATAGCCTATCTCAAAAAAAGAAAATTGGGGGATATAGCTCAGTAGTAGAACACCTCCAGGTTCAATCCTAGTACTACAAGAGAAAGGAAGGAAGGGAGGGGTGGAATTAACTTGGTATAATAATTTGGAAAGCAGTTTAGTTATATGAATTAATACTCTTAAAGAAAAAAAAAAGCCTTAAAAAAACCCTAGGAATCAGTGTGAAGTGTGCATGAAGATTCAGGCAGGATATTAACAATGGTTGTTATATCACCATGTTTTGAAATTCTGTGTCATTTTTATTGTTCTCTATGCTGTTTTGTTTATGTATTTATTTTTGTTATGTTGGTTTTTTTCCTTTTCTCTTTAAAATGAAAAACAAAATTTATATGTGTATACAAGGATAGCTGGGATAGGTGTATTGCTGATGTCTGTGGTTTATTGAAAGGAACAGTCAGTGCTTAAAATTTTTTTTCTTGACCAATGTTGCACGTTTAAATCTGGTAATGAGAATGACTGATCTGAAAACAACAACATGCAATATAAGAATCATTGCTGAACTCTTACCAACTTGTATGGGGAAGCTCTGCATCATTTCCAATGTGTTTTTTTATATTACTTGTTACTGTCTTTGATTGTTTGATCAGTCTTACATTCTTATGTCTAATGTTCTGAGCAGCTTTGTTGAAGATAACAGTATGTGGTGTGGCAACCATTGTTAATTCCTGTCATTTTGTTTTGAGATCATACATTATTTTTGTTGTTCTTGTGTTGTTTTATCTTCATTGTTTTGTTAGTTTTTTTATCTTTAAAAAAAATTCAAGCAGGGGGCTGGAGGCGTGGCTCTGATTGAGTGCTTTCCTAGCATGAAAAAGATCCTGGGTTCATCCCCAGCATTGTAAGAAAAAAGAGAAGGAAAGAAAAGATTCAAGCATAAAGTATAAACCAGTGAAATATCTAGCAATTGGAAAAAAGCTTTAAATAAATTCTAGCATATACAGTCAGCAAAATATATAACCTTCAACATTTTTCTAAGAATTTAAATGTTAAATCGTTTATGATAGCAAAAGCACATGACATAGTGTTATACCATATATTTGTTTGGGTTTTTTTTGTTTGTTTGTTTTTCTTCCGGTACCAGGAATTGAACTCACGACCTTGTGCTTGCCAGGCAGGCGCTGTGCCGCTGAGCTAAATCCCCAGCCCCTGTTATACCATATAAATAGGCTCAGTTATGTAAAATGTACTTGAATAGGAAAAAAGACTAGGTGGAAATATGCCAGGATATTAGTTTATAAACTGACAGTCTTTGAGGTTGTTTTAACTTTTTCTTTATACTTTTTTTAGATTATCTACAATAGACATGTTAATTTTTCTAATGATAAAACATAATAAATGAATAGAGTATATATACAATTTATAATATTTATTCTACTTCATCTTTTTGATTACTATTTAAATAGAACGGTTTTATAAATTATTTTAGTTTTGAAAGCTCATATTTACCCAGAAGCTAATTCACAAGTACAATATAAGCTACAAATTTGACTTAAATACTTGCAAAATCAATTTTAGGATAGTAAAATATTTGAATATTTTACATATACTTTTATGTTACATCAGTTGTTTTTTTTTCAATAGGGCTTTGCAGTTTGCTGATGTGATTGTCTTATTTGGTGCCAGACTAAATTGGATTTTACATTTTGGACTGCCTCCAAGATACCAGCCAGGTGTGAAGTTTATCCAGGTACTGAGGAGAGATTTCAAATCACCACTATCTGTGACTCAGTGTTTTCCTCCTTAATTATTATTAACTCTGCTTTCTTCTTGGCTTTTGTAAAGAAGTTTTTCTCTTTTTTACAGTAATAGGTTTTATAAGTTGTCTAATATAATTTTAGGAATCACAAAGTAAATTGACTTTTCAAGCCTAGAAAACATAATGTGGGCTGGGAATATAGCTTAGTGGCACAAATGCCTGCCTGGCAGGCGCAAAGTCCTGAGTTCGATTCCTGGTGCAAAAAAAACCATAATGTGCCACTTTACATCTAACCAGAAAACCTTTCAAAATCAAGTTTTGCTTAGTCTAAAAACATAAGTCGTTTCTTCTTCACAGTTCGTGTATAGTTAAAAGTACAGAAAAGAAGTTTAAGTAGGATGGTAGATTAGAATGAAATATTCAGCATTGTTATGGAGTTTTTCTTTTAATACTAAAACTTTCTTTCACCTTAGTTGGTTTTTTTTTTTGTTGTTGTTGTTGTTTTGTTTTTTTTTTTTGGTTCCGGGAATCAAACTCAGGACTTTACGCTTGCCAGGCAGGTGCTTAGGCCAATGAGCTATATATCCACGGCCCTTCACTGTTACTTGGAAATCTCTAAACTTTAAGTCTCCTTTCACCTGTGTGTCATCAAACAGAGTAACAGGAAAATATTCTGACTTTTTGAAATGACTCTTGTATCATTATGACCTTCTTTGTAAAGGTATTTTCCATACTGTGGAAACTGCCTACCTCTAGGCACCTACCTATAGGTGGGAAGTGCATACCTACATGCAACCCTGTTACCCTGTGCAGATTGGCCCCGTCCCATTGATGTTTGGTGACTCCCCTGCAGTTGCTGTCTACTCCCAGGCTAACTTCCTAAGGAGTCAACTTCTGTTAGCTCCTTTCCCACACGGAGCCATTGAGAACTAAAAAACACAAGCAACACTGTGGGTTGTACCTGGAAGACGCTGCCATCTCTGATTGCTCTTTTTGATTATTGACAAAGTGCATCCCCCGTAGGGGGGGTAAATTATTATTCCTTGAAGAAACCATGCATGGAACTTCTGAGTACCTGGGGAATTAACCATGCCATGCCCTTGGAGTTTTCCTTAAGGTAAGGTCCTTGGGTTACCTGCACCAGCATCACCTGAGAAATTTGGAAATTCTATTTCTGAGTGAAACACCTCCATTATATGAGTTTAACAAGCGCACTTGGTGACTGATGAATGCTCAAATTTGAGAGCCCCTATTTTCCATAGGAATTACAAATGTAATTTAGTAGAACCTTATTATTAGTCAGATTCAGGACTGTAATTGATCAGGTCATGTGCATTCCTGACAGTGTAGTGATATAATACCAAAATTCCATAGAGTAAATTTTAATTGAGGGACAATAGTAAGATTCTCTACACTAGCCTTAGTATTCATAGTTCTATAGATTTTTATTTTTAGTAAAGAACTTCTTGACTGTCAAATCTTTTTTATTATGTTATATATACACAGTTCATTGATTCAACTCTAACTGACTAAAGATTTTAAGAGTAAATATGGGGGCTGGGGATTTAGCTCAGAGGCAAAGCGCCTGCCTGGCAAGCGCAAGGTCGTGAGTTCGGTTCCCGGTATCGGAGGAAAAAAAACAAAACAAAACAAAAAAAAACATAAAAAAAGAGTAAATATGGCTTGTTCTTCAGCCTTTTCTCTCTTTTAGATTGATATCTGTGCAGAAGAACTGGGAAATAATGTAAAGCCTGCTGTGACTTTGCTAGGAGATATAAATGCTGTTACTAAACAGGTAAGAACTTGCCTGGGTTTTAGTTTATGTGGATTGATCTTCAAGGAATAATCAGTTGTTGAAAATATTTCTCTGGTAATATCTATTCTAAGCAAAGTTTATGATGGAAAACTACTCTTTATTTTTAGTATATGTTTGTGATAGGTAATAATTGTAATCATCTTGGTGCATTAGTACATACACATTTCGTGTCTTGATCATTTTGGAAAACTACTCTTAAATATAACATTGGAACTTGGTAAATCTAAGTTCTGTACATAGCTCATACGTAAATAAAGCACTTTTAAAAGGCACTTGAAAATTCAAAGTTATTCAGTGAGAAAACAGGGATTTACTAGGTAGAATCCAGCTATCAAAAAATTACAATATAACTTCCAAAGGCATTGAATTTTTAGCAAGAAATGGCTTACACACAGGAAAAATCTAGGGTGTTTTAGAGCTCTTTACTCTTTAAACTGTAATCTGTGATTTGTCCATCTTATTCTGTGTACAAAATTTACACATCTAATTGTGACAAGAGGTAGAGCATAGTCACATTTATCACTTGATTTTGGATGTTTGTTATCATAAGTACACAAAATTAGGTAGTTTCCCATCATATGTAAACTCACTCAGGAGCATTGGGTCTGTGTCATGGCCATTATTGCTATTTGTTAGGCTTCTGTAAAAGTTCCATGGTGGGGGTGTGTTCTTTCCTTACTGTCAAAGACAAGGACCCCTGCCTGTACGATATGGAGGAGCTAACACTTACATCTCACATAGGAATCCCAACATCTGGCGGAAACCTATTCTGATCCAAACAAAAGCTAACCAGATTACCCATTTATTGTCTCTGTTGTTACTGCCTAGAGGAAAAGTAAAGAGTATGAGTAATGTCAGGTTTATTAGGAGGAGATTTTCATAGTAATATAAGTTTATTTTCAAAAGAAAAAATTTTTTTTAGCTTTTAGAACGATTTGATAAAACACCATGGCAGTATCCTCCAGAAAGCAAGTGGTGGAAAATTTTGAGGGAAAAAGTGAAGAGCAATGAAGCTGCATCCAAGGTAATGTAGGAACCACTGAGCCTCAAGAACACTTGAGGTTCCTGAGTCACTTAAGTTCTGCTATAACGCATTGTGCTATGCAAAATTGTGCAATCAAAACTACAGGTCTCAGGAAAAGAACTCAGGTACAGAACTCAAGAACTTTATTAAAAAATAAGACAGGAGCCTGGTAAAAGTGGTAAAAAGGTTTAATCATGTTAAATGATTAAGAAAAATAAGTACTACAATAAATATGGTACTTTACCTTGAAAAATACCTCCAGAAGTTTTTAAATTTGCTATCAGAAGAGTTAACAGCTTATGAGTTACGGCAATATGGGTAGGTGTGGCTTACTGTCCTTAGTTTGTTGCATAGAACATCACAATTAATCTTTTTAACTTCAAGTCCTGGGACATGTTGGAGTATGGTTTTTAGCCTTTACAGATCCTTTAAGGCAGGAGAGTATGATAAATAGCTGTTTCATCAAAATTGAAATTTGACCCAATAGACGGTCTTCTTTTTCATTTAATTTTTGTATCACTGCTGGAGATTATTTTGTGGCTTTCTCAGATGGACTGTGGCTTTGTCTGATAATGAAGGTTTTGGAAATTGTAGCAGTTTTTGAAACCACTGAACTACTCATTACTGTCACTAAAATGAATCATTTCTGCAGGGTTTGGTGACTTCTGTTTAAAGTGTTGAGATAGATCGATTGCTCAATCAATCAGTTGATCTCGCTTTCTCTTTGATTGTGATATAGGTTATTCCTGAGTTTTTGCTATTTTGTATATTCCTGTGTACCTTGGTTCATCTGGAACAGTTTTCTGTGTTAACCTAGTGTTTTTTGCTGATGGAATCATACGTTAGCAAATATGAAATTTATTATGCTTACTTTGTTCCTTAATATATTAATAAGCTTGGAATACATTTACATTTTCAAATCAAGCATAACAGGACAATTAATTATGCCTGATTATGTTTTACACTACAATTTTAATCAGTGACTGTTTCTCCTATCGAGTCAGTTTGAGGAGCCACGTGTGGTGATGCCTGCTTGTAATCCCAGCTATGTGGAAAGCTCAGGAAGGAAAAGCACAGGTTTGAGGCCAGCCTGGGCTACTTAGGCCCTGTCTTGCAATACAATTTTTTGAAAAGGGCTGGAGTAAGGCAGTTGTGGTAGCACAGGACTATAATCCCAGAACTCTGGGAGGCCGAGGTAGGAGGATTTTGAGTTCCAACCTGAACTGGGCAAGTTAGTGACTTAGCAAGACTGTCTCAGGGTAAGAAAGTAAAAAGGGCTGGCATGCAGCTCAGTGTGTAAGCCCTGGATTCAACACCAGTATTGCAGAAGAGTGGGAATGAGTAGGGGTGAAGAGATGGCTCAGTGGTGGAGTGCTTGGCTAACTTGCTCGCAGCACTATGTTCAGTTATCAGTACTACAAAAGAGAAAAAGGAGCCAGTCTCCGTTCTCTTTTTGAGGTGCTGGGGGTTAAACCAATGGATGCTTTTTACTGAGTTACATCCCCAGTCCTTTTTATTTTTTATTTTGAGATAGGGTCTTACTAAGTTTTATCCAGGTTGGCCTTGAACTTTTGATCCTGTTCAGTAACTGGAATGACTCAAGTAGCTGGAATTGTAGGTGCACAGCACCACTGCAGGCCTCGGTTCTGTTTTCTGAAGTGTACCGTGACTAGTCTTTTCTTTTTCCCAGGAGCCACCTTTCTGAAGTGTACCGTGACTAGTCTTTTCTTTTTCCCAGGAGCCACCTTAGTTTAAGATGGAAGGAGCTTACCCCGCTTCTTTGGTACAGGAGTATAGGAGGACCTTCACCCACCTGGGATACCCCAGTAGAGCAGAGTAGCACAGGCAAAGAGGTAGTGCTGGGGCCAGATGGGACTTGCATCTGCCAGCCTCCAGCATGTGGCGCTGTGAAAGCATCTTCCTTGCTGTTTTCCCTCCATTCAGGGACTCTTCAGAGTAGTGAATGCAGCATACTTCCTTCCCTCTTCAGTGTGTTGGGAGAGGACCAGGTTTTCAAGCTGTCTTCTGTAACCCTGACATTTTAATTTTAAATTTAGGGCCATATTTCAGATGAAAAATTCTGGCATAAAAATTCCACATTTTCTGAGGCATCATTTTTCTAAGAGTACTCAAATAAGATTGTTTCATTTTATTTAGCCCAGTGTTACCCAGCTTCCTTTACTGTAGGACTTTTCAGAGTCTTTAATATGCTGAAGTATAGCATGTGGGACGGGGATATAGCTCAGCAGCACAAACACCTGCCTGGCAAGCGCAAGGTCCTGAGTTCGATTCCAGGTTCCAAAATAAATAAATAAATAAAGTATAGCGTGGATCTCCAGGAAGGGGGTAGTCTCAGGCTTACTTGAATATGTCCAAAGTGGAACTATGGGACATATTTTTCTTAGCGTGTTGTCCAGGATTGTTCATGGGCATTTAGTTTCCCAGAGTAGCTGTTGGACAGCCATCTGAGAATCTTATGGCTTATAGTTGTTGCCTAGCTATTTCCAAATAAACTTGATGGTAGCTGTTGTCATGGGTTATTTTCATTGTTCTCCTCTGCTCTTTCAGGAATTAGCTTCCAAAACGTCTCTGCCCATGAATTATTACACAGTATTCTACCACATTCAAGCACAGTTGCCCAAAGACTGTTTTGTGGTAAGTGAAGGAGCAAATACCATGGACATTGGACGCACTGTGCTTCAAAACTACCTTCCTCGTCACAGGTAAGACTTCCAAGAAAGAAATTAGAGCTCATTATGTATTTAATTTGAAACAACAGTAATGTAGATTAAGAAAATACTTAAGAACTCTACACGTTCAGTGTATAAGGACATATTTCATCAGTGTATTCTTAGGTGAAGTTTTGTAGCTTTTATGCTTGTTATGTCCTTGGTATCATTATATAGTCAGGGTTCTAAGGATATGTGTACAGCCCGCCAAATAATCATGAGTGGCTTTTTCCTCCTACGCTGCTAACCCTTAATGAATTAGTTCTTTATAAATGAATTAGTTCTTTATAGTCTAAAAAGTTTAGACAATGTCTTTATTTTTCCACAAACCATTGTACTGTAAATATGACTGGAAGATGTGTGCCAACCTTACCCTCTGTGACATGACCCAGAGAGTTTTATTGTAGCTCTGTTCCCCAACAGGCTTGATGCTGGTACTTTTGGAACAATGGGAGTCGGTTTGGGATTTGCTATTGCAGCTGCTCTGGTGGCTAAAGATAGAAGCCCCGGGCAGCGGGTCATCTGCGTGGAGGGAGACAGTGCATTCGGATTTTCTGGCATGGAAGTGGAAACCATCTGCAGGTAAAGCAGAATCCGGATCAGAGCATTTTGTTCTCCTAAATGTGAAACTCTCACCTAACAAACAGTTACCAGGTATACACCATGTGCCAGGTGCCCTCTGATGAGTCCTAACACTGTGTCCTGAGGATCCCGGTATAATAGCTCATGGTCTTTCTCCTCCAGGACACTGTGTTTGTGGCCTCCTCACTACATACTGGAAACCTACAAAACTTCAGGGAGTAATTTTGAGGTCAATGGGAAAATATATTTGGTCTTAGAGAAGCTTGTCTTCTATAGGGAGATAGATTTCTAGGACAGGTGGCCTCTATTTATTTATTTTAAAGATAATTTAAAAACAATAAAAATGATACAGAATTTTAAAACAAGACGATAGGAAGTTAACAGTGGTTGTTGTATTGCATATTGTTAGCTTCAAAGTAGTTGTTCAGATTACCAGATATAGGCATGCAAAATTGATCAAACATTAAGCGCTAATTGTTCCTTTCAATAAACCAGTAGAAATTAGTAGTACAGTTATCTCAGCTATCTTGTATATATATATATATATATATTTTTCCCTTTCTTCTTTCTTTCTTTTTTGCTTTCCCCCATCCCAGTTGTTCTTTTCTTTTGAGCAGTTACTTTCCTTTTCATAATATCTATTGTACCTTTTGGATTTTATTTACTCTTTCAGTTTCTTAGACTAGGGAGACAGTATAATTGCATATGTGGGTCTGATTTGTTTCACTTACGAATTTAGTCTCTAGTTGCATCTATTTACCTATAAAAGCCTCAAGTTTATCTTTCTTTATAGCTGAGTAATGCTCCCTTGTGTAAAAATACCACATCTTTTCTACACATTCCTTGGTTGATGGGCATTTGGACTGTTTCCAAGATTTAGCTATTACAAATTGTGCTGCTATAAACATGGGTGCACGTATATCACTGTGGTATGATGTTTTCAGTTCTTCCGGAGAAATACCAGAAAGGGAATAGCTGAGTCGAAGGGGACCTCTAATCCTAGTTCTTTGAGGAATCTCCACACTGATTTCCACAGTGGTTGCCCCAGTCTACATTCCTACCAGCAGTGGAGAAGGATTCCTTTTTTGCCACAGCCCCTTCAGCATTTATTATTGGTTGATTTCTTGATGATAGCCACTATTTCTGGGGTGAGATGGAATCTCAGTGTTGTTTTAATTTGCATTTCTTAAATGACCAGTGATGTTGAACATTTTTTCCTATATTTGTCATTTGTATTTCTTCATCTGAGAAGTGTGTATTCATCTCAGATGAAGTGGCCTCAATTTAAATACTGGTTCTACATGTTAGAGGCCAGAGCTTATACTTGTCAATTAACCTAGCCTTAATGCTCTTCACATAAAACAAGGAGCAGCAGTTCTTACCTTAGAAGGTAGTAGTGAGGAACAAATGAACAAAAGGTAAATTTTGAGGTGTTACTTGGTGAAAGTATGCTGTTCAGATTTTATTTGTAGTTACAAGGATTCACGAAGAGACTCATGACTTGTGGTTCCTACTGTAGAAGTATAGGAAAATTTTGCCCCTGAACTATATTTAAATTATAGTAAAAAAAGATTCTGTTTTTGATCAGGGATCTTTTTAGGGCTTTTGTGAATCATCTTTTGGGGCTTTTAAAGTTTTATCAAAATTTTAGGATGAAGGGGAAATATTGCCTATTGGACTGTCTGCACTGACAACTGAGAGATATATACCAAAAAGGTGATTTATGGGAAAGTCAGCCTTCTAGAGAGTAATGATTTCCTTTTGGCTGGGAGAACAAATGTACCAGTATCCCATTGTTAACCAGTATGCAGTTTAGTTTGTCTTTATCACCTGCCCTCAGAAATTGTAACTGTACAAAATAACAGCGACGTTCTTGTTCAGTCATTGATAAAGATTAGTCAGCCATTTTGTTGTTGTCTCTGCTGTACTGTTTAGGACATTGTTGGATACCCTTTCTCTCTACTGACCATGCCGGGTGCCATGGTTTGAGCATGGACCCAGTGGGCTTTGACTTGTGTGGCTGTCACAGCATTCAGCACAGGCTGGTTATATGTGAGGAGTCAGGAAATAGAAAGATACTTTCAAACAGTGTTCTTCGGAACCATTTAGAAGTAGTGCTTCAGAGCGTAGTAAGAAGGGAAAGTGTTTTTCTTACTACTGCCTGGATCTCTGAAAACCAGGACTCAGAAAAGCTCCGTGATTTGACCAAGGTTCAAAACTAAGTAGCGGTAGAAGATCATATCTACCCACTCCTAGTAATGTGGTGTTCTACCACTTCATGATGTCTCTGTTGATGATTTTTTTAAAAAGAGAGACCGTTCATTATTCCATCATCGTGCAGCACACACGCATACCTGCTTATGTCTTAAAAAATGGGGTTGCACTGGTCATAGATTTACCTTGGAGGTGTGAGCAGTCACTTGTCTTACTCTGGCAACATTCCCATCATCAAAATAGTCTTCACAGCGATATTGATGTTATTTGTGAGCCAAAACTGATTGAATTGTGGTGCAGAAACCTGAACCAGTCTACACCAATCTAGACCAGTCCTTCCCCTCCAAAAATTGGAACGTTTTTCTGCTGAGGTTTCTGCAGCCTTGTTGGTTTCTGCCCTTTCTTCATTCTTAGCTGTTCTACTGTTTTTTTCCTCCCACATCTTTTAGTGCATATTGGTTGTACAGATTAATGTATTTCATTTTGGTGGGTTTGTACATGCACATCACTTTAACCCCCCGTCATCTCCTTGCCCCGCTCTCTCCCAGCCAGTTTCACGTGGAGGGGGTTCAGTGTGTACAGTGTATTTTTGTCATATTCCTGCCCCTATTACCTGCTTTACACCCTCCCCGCCCCCTTCTTCCTTTCCTCTTGTCTGATAGTAGTCGCTGGCTACTTTCTTGTCGCCCTTTCTAGATTCTGCTTATTAAGGAGAACATGCAGTATTTGCCTTTCTGAATCTGGCTTTTTTTACTCACCATGATATATAGATCCGTTTTGTTCTTTTTATGGCTAAATACTCCATTGTGTGTGTGTATATGATAATTTGTAATACATATATATCACATTTTCTTTATTCATATATTGATAGATACCCAGGCTAGTTTCATACCGTGGTTATTCCATATTGTGCTACAATAAATAGGGGTGTGTAGGTATCCACATGATATGCTAGCTTTAACTCCTTTAGGTATGTACCAAGGAGAGGTGCAGCTGGATGAAAGGGTAGTTCTATTTTTTGTTTTATAAGGACCTTCCATTTTGGTTTACGTAGTGGCTGTACTAATTCACATTCCTACCAGCAGTGTAGAATGGTTCCTTTTTTCCCTGCATCCTTGCCGGCGTTTTTTTTCCCTATCCTTGGTGACAGCCATTCTGACTGGAGAGAGATAGAATCTCAGTGTAGTTTTGATTTGCATTTCCCTAATGGCTAAAGTTGTTGAATTTTTTTACATACTTATTGACCATTTTTACTTCTTTTGAAAAATATTTTATTTAATTCTTTTGCCCATTTTTTGATTGGGTTATTTGACTTGGTATTTTTTGAGATTTTTGTATATTCTAGATATTGATTCACTGCCAGAAGAGTAGCTGACAGATACATTCTTTTATTCTGTAGATTCTCTCTTTACTCTGTTGATCCACTTCCCTACTGTGCAGAAACTTTTTTATTTGATGTAGTCTCAATTGTCTTGCTGTTGTTTCCTGTGCTGTGAGTCCTACTCAGGACGTCATTACCTGTACTGTGACTTCAAGTGTTTCCCCTTTGTTTTCTTTTTACAGTTTCAAACTTTCAGGATGTATACATAGGTCTTTGATCTATTTTGAATTGATTGTTTTGTTCAAGGTGAGAGACCTAGTTTCAGTCTCTCCATACGGATATCCAGTTTTCCCAGTTTCGTTTGTTAAAAGAGGCCAAAACAATTTAAATGGAGGTCTTGAGACAGGGTTTTGAGAAAGCCAGTGGAACCGGCAGGTGTCTCCCTACTTCTTTCTGTACAGCATGGTAACTGGAGTTGCAGCAGTCCTGGTGCTACCGCAAAATGACCCTGGAAGATAAGTACTGAGGAGAGCAAGAAAGAAAGAAAAAGGGGTCCTGGAGCTCCCACCTTTATCAGTTTCAGGAGGTCTTTGCCTGTGCCTGTGGCTTTGTTTCCTGTGTGTGTGTGTGTGTGTGTGTGTGTGTGTGTGTGTGTGTGTGTTAACAGTTTCACAGTGTCAGACCTTAAACCTAGGTCTCTGATGCATTCAGAATTCATTCTTGAACAGCATAAGACGTACAGATCTAGTTTCAAACTTCTTTAAGTGGGTATCTAGTTTCCCCAGTACCATTTTTTAAAATTTAGCATCATGACTTTTATTCATTTTTAATACAGAATTTCATGGCTCATCAAGGCTAAGCTAGTCTGTAATGTCTTTTTTATTAACATGTATTTGCAGTGCATGATGTTTACATTCCTTATGTGGAGTTGGTATGAATACATATTGCATCTTAATTCCTTTTTTCATCCCTTTCCCCTGCCTCCATTTCTTGATCCCTTACCAATTTGGGAAAGATCTGTCTCTCTAGTTCCTATTACCTGTCTTGAAATTTGCTTTTTATTTATAATTTGGGTTCATAATTACAAAGAGAAACCATATGCCAGGCATGGTAGTGCATACCTGTAATCTCAGTGGGAAGATCACTGTGAGTTTGAGGGCAGCCTGGCTACATAGTGAGTTCAGGGCCAGCCTCAACTACCTACCAAGACCCTGTCTCCTCCAAAAAAAAGAAAAGAAAGAAAGAAACCTTGTGTTTTAAACCATTTAAGTTTATGTGTCTGATTTATTTAACTGTTTTTTTTCTTTTTTGTCTTTTTGAGACAGAGTTTCACTGGGCAGTTCAAGCTGGCCTTGAATTCACTTTGTATCCCAGGCTGGCCTCAAACTTGCAGCACTCCTCCTGCCTCAGCCTCTTGAGTGCTGGGATTACAGTTAACATTATGGTCTCAAGGTGTATCCATTTT